TGGGTTACTTCCGAGGCTACATGGGACAGCCACGCTGTCAATGGCGATGGTCAGTGTTGGCTTTCACCGAGTCTGTTGTGTCAGGGTACTCCGCCGCCGCCTGAATACACGCTTACAATGATGGTGGTCAGTGTTGGCCTTCTATGATATTGTGTCAGGGTACTTCCGAGCCGCCTGAATAATGTGGCTGCCCGGCACGATCGCAGTTGGTGAGAATCGGTCTCGCGATCGGTCCAGAATTCGTCTGGGAGACTACTTCTGCTGTTGTTCCAATCGGTCCGGAGCGGCTGGAAACAGAACCAGGCCAGGGACCCCCTCGCCAGGCCTAGGGACCAGGAATCGCAGCCAATATACCGGACAGTCTAGCGGGAGGCCCGGTACTCCCAGGCCGAGGCGTGGTCCACAACCGAGGCATGTGACGGCAAAAAATTGCCGGGTGTAGGCCAAGTAGGGTCTGTCATTTATAACGCTATACGCTTATAAGAACCTCCGTAGGAGGGCCCCCACAGGGTGTCATGGGTGGCTGCAGTCGCCCAGCTTGACCGGGCTCCATAACGCTCTCTGCCGCTCGCGAAGCTCGGGCAGCTTCGGCCTCCGCGTGGCGGTTGTCGAGCCCTCTCAGTAGAGTAGTTCTGGGTTCACAATAGCTTATTATGCCCTGTTAGGCTGTAGCCCTGATACAGATGTGGCAGACTATGCTTGGGAGGTGAGCACACAACAAAATTCAAGCACCTCACAAAGTACCATCCGGAGGCTCCCCTAAACCCTAGCCTATCCCTACCCCCATATCACCCCATGCCTCCTACATATCCTCTATGCACCCCCCAATCTCTGAACCATACACCCCCATACACATCAATTCAAGACTTCTACCCCCTAAACCCTAAACCCTAACCTCCACCGCTGTGGCATGGCTTCAGCTGGGAGCCCTGCACCAGGCCTTTGGTTGTAGGCTGGGGTGTAGGGTTTCGGGTTAAGATTTGTTTTTTTAGAAAGACTTTTTGGGGTTTAGGGTGGTTCAAGATTAGGGCTGTAGGGGTTTAGGGGAGTCATTCTTGGGAGATGACGGCAAGTCATAACCTCATGTTCCCTACACTGTTTCAATCTAAAACCAATTAAAAACTCTATCCGCAATGACCCAGGATAGGGGAGTAGGGCTGAGTGGCTTCGGACGAAGGTTAAGGTGCAGTGCTAGGTTGTAGGGGTGTTAGAGCGGTTTAAAGTATTTAAGGGTTTGGGGCTTAGACTCTAGGATATTTCCTGTCCAGCACTGGGGGCCTCAAGCACGTTTTTCAATCTCGCGAGCGGTTTGAACGGACTCCTGGACCCCTGCGGATGTTGTCACAAGGTTCGGTCAGGGTTTTGGGATCGATTGACAGTTTAACCACAGGTCAGACCTGAAACCCGGATCAAAAAGACTAAGCCGTACACCCACAATCTTATGGCCCAGACCTTGGGTACTGCCCCCACCCGGTAACAGTCGATAATAAGAGCAAAATTAAGGGCTATACATAACTATAATATAGATATTATCCAACGGCTCTTGAGGGGCAGTATCCAACCCCGACCATACACCCTAAATCCGGTCCTAAACCCTAAACCCTAAGGACGACCGAGATGCTGGTTGAAGGACCCTACGGGCACACGGCGCTTGGCTTTGCCTCCGGTCCTTGCCGAAGATGCCGTGGACAGCGTCTTCGCAAAGCTCAAGGATCCCTTGCCTTAGGGTTTAGAATATAGGGTCTGTCGTCTTCGTGGGTGATCCAAGAAAGATCCTAACCTTTTCGAAGTAATACTGTGCCCAAAAGGAGGCAACAATCTTACTCTGCTTTCGGGACAATAACATGCCCATGGAATAGGCTACGTACACATGATTTTGGGTTTTATAGGGCTCTGGGATAAATGATTCTAGGATTCGGGTTCAGGGGAGTTTGGGGATTTGGGTTCCAAAGGCTTGGGATCTGGGGCTTGGATTAGGGTTCAGGATTGGGTTGGGGGTTTAACGTGTGAAGCTTGCGGTTGCCATTGCTACGGGAAACACAACAGGCATCCATAAACCTTTTCCAATCTGCCCCAAGTCACTAGTTCTGTCATGGCCATGAGCTGGGTGACCCCTCTGAGTATTCTGAGTCTGGCTTGTACGCCGCTGACTGTTTTGAATCTGGCTTGATCGGCGGTTTCTTGCAAACAGGTTTTCTGCCAGCACGGCTTGCATTGACGGAATTCGGCGGGAGCTTCGCTTGTGGGGCGCTGGGCTAGGACCGAGAAAGTCTTCAGGCATTGACGGAAGTCTGGCGGAGGTTCGCTTGTGAGCGGAGGAGCTAGATCTTGTCTGGCCATCTGACCACTTGTCCTGCCCAGATCTTTGCGGGAGGGGGTGGTCCAAAATTAAGGGTCCCTCTTGGGGAGTTCTTACAATAAGGATTACCGTGTATTGGGCTTTACATGGGAGACCCCTGTTTTTGGCATTGGGCATGAATCTTGTCTGCAATATTTGTTCAAGAGTAAGCAGTGCTCTTTCGCGGATGTGCTGTGCAAGCACAGGATGTTGGCCATAGGTTGCTGTTGATGCAGAAATTTGCTGGTTCTTAGATTTTCCCATGCTCATCACTAAGAACGAGTAAGAACAACTGCATGACCCTCAGTATCTTCTGTTTTGGGCATGACGGGGATGACCCTGGTCGGGGAGGGGCCAGAAAGAGTTCACAGGGTCTGCGAATTGAGTTCGCCCCTCCGTAAACTAACAGTGAAGTGTATATGAATTCATCTGAACCACGAGAGCAGTCTGTGAGAGGCCGTCTTTTCCGTTCCATACTTGTTGGGAACTGCAGGACCTAGGGCAAGATTAGCACTATTATTACCATGATTATTACGATTTTCCTACTATTTTACTATTATTACTGTTACTACTATTATTAAAATGACACCCTTCTCCAGTACAAACGGATGGCTGATACCTGGACTACGGTGGTCTAACTAGCAATTGAAACTCCCCTCCAACCCCAGAAACCCTGATTCCCTCATCCCACTCCTAAACCGCTATAGAGTGTTGGGCGGGATTGGTAAGGCCAGGGGTCTGCGTAGTCAAGATCTTCAGGGTCAGGACTTTGCAACATTTTCTGTAGGTTCTGGGTAGGATACTGGCCCCACCCAGTAACAATCTATTCTAGAGGGAATATGAAGGGGTATATCATGGTATATCTATTCATAATACAAAGATTATCCAACTGTTACTGAGTGGGGGCACCCAAGTCCTAGGATTTAATGATGGGTCTCAATGGTCCTTATGGGACCAAAGCCTGCCAGTTGGCTGGACCTTTAAGCTAAGGTATTTACTCAAATCGCAGCAGCTGCCGCAAAACCTGAAACGCATGCACCCACCTGAAATGTTTTCTCCACCACAGCCATGGACTTTCTCAGCGCTGCTTCCGTAGCGCTGAGCACATACCGCTCCAGGTTCACCATGGTTGTCTTGATGTCCTGCATCTACACATGTGCGGGAGTGCGTGTGAGGTGGGTCTAACTGTATGAGGTCACCCATCCAATGAGTTTTGAAGATTTGGTCTAGGTGTATGCTCGTCAAAGTTTTGGCTGCGGCGTAACACGACAAGGTTCTTCCGATACTAGACCGGCTTCAGAACCCCACTAAAAACTAAAAGTGTTGGTCGTTATCAGGATTATAATAACAAAATATTGAAAATATATCCCCCTTAAGTAGATAGAATATGGCTTTGGGGTATATTAGAACAAGATCCCCATATAACCCACATTCTATCTACTTAAGGGGGACTATAGTACAAGGACACCAGGCTACGTTTGAAGCCTTCCTACATACTCAGCTACTCAGAAGCGGACAGACAGGTTGGCATCAGCGGGGGGTTTAGGGTTTCAGGGTTTAGGGCTTAAGGGTTTAAGAGATTAGGGTTTAAGGGTTTAGGGTTTAGGTCCACCTGTGGCTTATGGATCCTCGGGCGCCCTGACAGTGCGAAAACACCAACATCTCGTTCAAAACCGCCGTGTATTTCACACTACTTGAATTCTGGTCGAAGATGGCTTAGGACATTTCGCAGGATATCTGAAAAATACAGCTCGGACGTTCTACATCATTTTTTACAAGCATCTTGTCCCATGCCTAGAATAACCTTGCACACCCCTGTTTCTTCGTCGGGAGCCAAGGATGGGGCGCATGGGCTTAGGAATTCAGGTGGGGGACCTTTTTCCTCCAAATTTGCGCGTAACAGCATGCAGCAAAAACAGGGCACTGTTGGACAATTATTCGGCGTCATATAGGTCCTTAGGTACTGCTGCTACTACTGCTACCACCACCACTACCATGACCCCTTCCACCGTTCCTCGCCAGGCACCTCGTGTTCACGAACAAAACAGTGTGAACCGTTTATGTCAACAGACTTCTCCGAATCCCTTTGACGACGCTCAATGCCTCTCGGCATGTATGACCTAAAGCTCGGAACCACGGATCCTGTCACCTTGATTGATTCCCACGTAGAACCCATTTTGGGGGTCCCCATAATAAGGACTGTAATATATTAGGGTCTATATTGGAGTACCCCTATGTTTTGGGCATTGAACTGCAAGGCGAAAGCCCAACAGCCTGTACATCGTTCAGTGGATCTGCTGGCAGCCACGTTGGTTTCGAAGGCCGGGGCTGCTCTATGTCAGAATCACAACCGGCTGCTATCTGGGCGCGTGGGGTTTTCACTACCCCCTAATCGTCCGACCCCCGCAATTGAGAGAAGGCCTCTACATACGCATTGTTTGGATATATTCATTCTTGACGGATTGTGGCTCAAAGGACTATATTGAGGGTTGGAGGACGTTGGATTGAGGGCTTGGGGAGGCTTATAACTCAACATGAACAATACCAGAAACAGTAATCGCACTTGTAAGAAGAAGAATGCTAGCAGGAGGCTTCACGGCTTAGGTTTCAGGGCTTCGGGGGTCTAAACTTATTTGGGTCTGAAATTCAGGAACAAAGCTCAACCACAGTTCCGGGGTTGTGAGAGGATGCTTCTGCTGGGGTCAGCGGCAAAGAAGGCAGAAGGAATGATTAATCCCATTTTTGGAAGCTATATAATATAGGGGATATATAGGGGCTATAGAGGGAGAGAGAGAGAGAGATCTATATATATATATAGATATATATATATATAACACATGTACATATGGTCCGAAGTTGGGGGAACTTTCTGGGGGCCCCTATAGTAAAGATTAGAACATGTTGGGGTCTATACTGGGCTCTCTGTTTATGGAAACTACCATATAGCCAAGCCCGTAACCCAAATGTATGAAGAATTCCGCAGGTTGATCTCATCATGGTTTCGTGCTTAGGGTACTTTGGAGTGCACGCCGAGCATGCAGGCGGTTCTCAAACTGAGGGTCCCTTGCTCGGATGTCGCTTACAGTCCATAATGTTAAAGGCTCACACGAAACTGCCATAACTTTGCAACCTACCTGTGTAGATGATGGATGATCGAACAAAGCTGCCTGAAATGCGCCACAATGCAACTCTAATCCAGGATACTACGTGGCACTTAGGGCCCCTACGAAGGGTTATTCCTTAGGTACTATAATAGGAGTATAGGGGAAACACCACGGGTTAAGGGTGTAAGGTCCAAGCAAAGTCTCGAGGAGTATAATATAGATACTGGAACTTGCAAGGGCAGGGTTCGGCAAATAGTCTTCTGCAAGCCTAAACCCTAAACCCCTAAAACCTAAATCCCTAAAACCAAAACCCTAAACCCCTATAAAACCTAAATCCCTAAACCCCAAACCCTAAACCCCTAAAACCTAAATCCCAAAACCCCAAACCCTAAACCCTGTGCGGACAAGCTCAACATTATCCTCCCGGGTCGGCCCCTAAAACCAATTGAATAATGTTCGTATGTAGGGCCTCTTCTTAAAGCTATAAGGGAAAAGTGCTAAATCTTCCAGGGGCCTACCTAGCCTCTATGAGCCCTCACATAGGTTTTAGGGTTTAGGGCTTAGGGTCTAGGGCTTAGGGTTTGACGAACTCCTAGCTGCTGACAAGGCCACCTGAACCTCCACGGTTGGCTCCTGGCCCACGCCTTCCATCCTTGAGGTGGTTTTATGTTTACAGGCTAGGTTTTGGGTTTAGGGTTTGGGGATTGGGGTTTAGGGTTTGGCTATAATGTAAACTCCTAGTATCCCCCTGAATATCCCCGAAATAACCCCCTTTAAAGAGTTTAGACTATAGCTCATATGGGGATTTTATAGGGATACATAGGCATCAGGGATTATCCGGGTGGCTGCCAAGGAACTTAAAGTAAGGTACCATGATGTGGGTATATAGTGAATCATAGGGTTTAACAGCAACCCAGCATAGGCATCACGTGGGGCTCATGCAGGTTTAGAAGTATTACTACCATAATGGAGAATCCACTATACGGCTCCGGCCTATGATTCCATTTGGTAGCGTTGCGCTCGAATCAAGCCCTCCTCTGCGAACACTTCTGTTGGCAAATCATCCTCAAAGAGAGTTTTCTTGAATGCTTTTCCTTCATTGCCTATACACGCACCAGCAACGAATTATGGTTTTCTAGGCTGGTGAGAGATGGCTGCAGTACTACTTCAGCTTCAGTTTGACTTCTACGATTCTACGCCCTAGTGCCTGGTAGGGAATGGGTGAATGGGCTCAAGGAAAAATTGCAGGGATAGGATGGGGACTACTATGGCGGTCAACTTCCTCACTTGCTAGTAAGCGTCAGGCTATGATACCAACCAATTTGAGAAGTTTTGACTGGCAGGCAAACACAGAGTCTACGCCTTCTAGTAGTAGCAGTAGTAGTTGGAGGAGGGGTGGTGGTGGAGGTGGCGGCGGTGGTGGTGGGAGGTGGCGGTGGCGGTGGCGGTGGCGGTGGCGGCGGCGGTGGCGGTGGTGGTGTAATGGTGTATATAGGCTCACACCTGAGGCAAGTGCAGGATGTCTACATGATACGACGCCCTACAGATGACGGCCCCTTGAAATAGTCTATATGGTAGTTGTCATCAATAGCGGGACCCCAATAAAGACTTCCAAATACTAGCAATGCCTTGACTATAGTGACGCCCCAAAAAACACCTATAATTTTGGAAGCCCCTAAACACTAAGCCCTATATATAATCCCGATATCCCCTTTAAAGGTACCCCTGAGATTCTTGTAATGCTTCTCTGGGGTTTAGGGTTTGAGGATTGCCCAGCGTCTCTTCTGTTGCCGTGGACACATTGTCCAGGTTGCCTGTCATCACTGGGATGCGGATTGGGCCTGCTGGAGAAACGCTTAATCAATTTTGGGCCAATCCCCCACCCAACAGTGGGTACCACACAGCCCTGAACCCTACAGAGTCTAGGGTTTCTCCAACTCCAAGCCCTGAACCCCATGCAGAGCCCAATCCCTCACCACACAGGGTTTAGGGTTTAGGGCCGGGAACTGGACTCATTACCTCTGCCGGCGCCTGTCATCCTAGACACTGCCGAAGGTGACTCGGCAGACAAATTGAAGGGAGGAGCAATGGAGAGAAGAGCCAGTCGTATCCTCAGCTGTCTAAAAGGATTCGCAAACGACTTCTTTGCACTATCTTCGAGTATGTTTTGAATTGCAACGGGTGCCCTGTCAAAACCCAAAACACAAATTTCGGCTGGGTGACGGAGCTTGGGGAAAGATCAGGAAGATCTCAAACTGGCAGAACATTTGAACCATGAATGCTGCCGATTTTTTTGGGGGAGGCAGCCTGCTCAGCCTAAGAACGCCAGACCTCTCCAACTAGGATAGGTCTGGGGGCCCTATACAAAACTGTATGGCACTGTGTGGATTATGTAGGGGTTGAGACTCACAGACAGTCAATCGAGTGGTCAAACCTTCCCCCCTGATGGTCTCTAGTCCGCTGTGGGATCGTCAAAAAAAGTAAGAGAGAGTGCAACCTCAGTATGGGCTTTTTGGGGGGATGTCCTTACCTTCTGTGGGTTGGGTTATGTTATTGATGGACATTTGGTCGGATATCCTATTTACGTGTTAGCTTGTGCTTTTTGGGGCCCCTAGCCACGTGCGAGTTGGTCGCTTTGGGGAGCCCCTTTCAAGAAGACTGGGCCAAAATGCAGGATACCCCTAGAGTCCCCCTTAAGTAGATAGAATATGGGGTATATGGGGGGTCTTATTATAGTATACCCAAAATCATATTCTATCTACTTAAGGGGGACTATAACAATTGATAGGTAGTTTCTAAAAATGGCCTGGTAAGGAAAGTGAAAAGGGATCCATTTCCACCAACGCCTAAGCACGGAACTACCTCAAATGCCCAAGTCTCTCATTGATCTGCGCGTCTAGGACGTCGAACGCACTTCTGGACAGGTTATACAGCTCTTCTTGTTGGTTCAGAGAGCGAAGCACGTTGTACTTGATGAATCCTTTGTTGTTCCCGGAACCCAGCACAGTCTTCCAAAGTTCATAGCGGCAGTTTTCGGAATGTAACTATTTACTTTGACATTCATGGAAGATGGTAGATAATTGCAACTGACGTGAGAGTGCAACCCCAAACTGGCGTTACCTACAAAGGAATCTAGGACCAGTCCAACGAGCGTTTAGTAGCACTGTAAACCTCTAGCATTAGAAGGTGAGCCCTACATATTATATTCCCTAAGTACAAACGCACGGACCTTTGCAAACCCGATTCAAATGCCGATGTGCAGCCCAAACACGGGGTGCTGTTTTTGACTCATGCACCCACCGCGTCAGCGGAGCGATAAACTCGGCTGCCTCCAAGGAGGAACAATCCCGAAAATCTTCTGAATAGTAGGGAATAAACGAATGGAAACTACTTTGTTGTTGGGGCTACATAGGTTATGCTAATAAGGACTACGAACTATGAGGATTCATTCATTCATGCGTTGATTGATTCATTCATCCATTCATACATCGATCAATTCATCGCTAACCAGGAGTACTGAACGTCTTCTGAATCTGCCCTGGCACACTCCAGGGGCAATTTCGGCTGTTTACTGGGAGTTCTATAATACGCAAGACACCAAGTCTCCTGGGGTCAGGGTTGGGGCCGCTCATCCTGGGCTCCATTTGGGAGAGAATCCTTCAATACTGGGTTGCTGTTAAAGAACTTAAATTAAGTAACCATAATGGGTATATATAGTAAATAATAGGGTTTCCCCAATATAGTAACTTAATTTAAGTTCCTTAACAGCAACCCAGAATAGGGACCCCATGTCCTCTTGTACCCTCCTCGAAGCACAAGATCCTGCTGTGGATGGAGGAAGACTTGCACCACTCTACGTACTACGTACCTTATACGCTAGGAGTTCCAGCGCATTACGGATCCCAAATGGTGCAAGATTTCCGCCGTCCGCCGTTATGGTTCAGGGTGCATTTCAGAATCCGGTCTGAGCCTACTCGGGAGTAGCAAAAGACTGATGACAGAGAATGTAAGAACTGCAGACTGCGATGTGACGCCTGGTCTAGACAGCGACAAGTGAGACTGCGCCAACATGACCTGTCTATCCGGCTATCTTATCCATTCGCCAAAGACTACAACCTTTTCTCGCCAAAGGAAGAGTGTAAAGCCCTGTCGCGTAGGGGCACGTGTAAGCACGTGCGAAGCACATGCTTGGCTGAAGCAACGTTTCAGTAGGTTTGCGGAAGGGTTCTGGGAATCAACTGCTACATATGTCCAGTCAGAGTTTTACAATGCAGTCTCATACATAAAACCTCGCGGAACAGCAAAATCCAAACCTACTATTCCATAAGCAAGCAAGAACTGCTGACAGCAACTAGTTGCCACCCATAAGGGACCCACAACTTTAAGAATAGCCTGAGTAGGGTGCGCGGCCTCTATCTCTCCTTCGCCATGCACGTCGATCATCTCAAACAGCTGCTGGAGGTCTGACTCATCGATGTCCATAACCTCGCGAGGTTGGATGAAAGGAATGTAAGGATATGCAAGAATGCGTGTAAGAATGAAAAATGTGTGTATATATATATATCTCTCTCTCTATATATATACAGGACGCGTGTGTGTGATACGGTTCCTTAAGTTCCTTAAACGGGGTCTAGCCCTCAGA